TATGGTGTAGGTACTCTTTTTTTGTTTGTTTTTTGAGACAGAATCTGGCTGTGTCACCCAGGCTAAAGTGCAATAGTGTCTCAGTCTCCGCTCACTGCAACCTCTGTCTCCTGGGCTCAGGCGATTCTCCTGTCTCAGCCTCCTGAGTAGATGGGATCACAGGTGTGCACCACCACACCTGGCTAGTTTCTTGTGTTTTTAGTAGAGATGGGGTTTCACCATGTTATCCAGGCTGGTCTTGAACTCCTGGCCTCAAGTGATTAACCTGCCTCAGCCTCTCAAAGTCCTGGGGTTAAATAAAAATGGCTAGGCGTGATGCTATCCTACACCATTATGCTGCTGTATGGCAAATGGATGGCAGAGAAGAGTGGAAGCTAGAAGACCAGTTCAGAGGCTTTTGCAGTATATAGGTGAGAAATGTTGGTTGTTCGTACTGTGATGATCGCAGGTGAGTTTGAGGGAAATACATGGATTCAAGATACATTTTAGAGACACAATCCACAGTACATACTGAAGAATTGTGTGTGGATCGTAAGGGAAAGGGAGGAATCAAGGATGGCTCAGATTATTAGCTAGTGCTTTAGGGAAGATATTGGTGCTGTTTACTGAGGTAAGGGAAGACCAAGGTCTGAGCTGGAGGTGGGGAGATAGTCAGAAAGAATAGGTTTGTGGGGAGAAAATAAAGATTTGTGTTTGGGGCATATTGGGAAGCCTAATCCCATCCCAGTGGAGATGTCATAATTTTTAAATGTGAGTCATGGGTTCAGGAAAGAGTTATAAAATAAAGATAAAAATTGAGGACTCAGGCCAGGTGCAGTGGCTCATGCCTGTAATCCCAGCAGTTTGTGAGGCTGAGGCAGGTGGATCACTTGAGCTCAGGAGTTCAAGACCAACCTGGCCAACATGGTGAAACCCCATCTCTACTAAAAATACAAAAATTAGCTGGATGTGGTGGCAGTCTCCTGTAATCCCAGCTACTCAGGAGGCTGAGGCAGGAGAATCGCTTGAACCCAGATGGTGGAGGTTGCAGTGAATCGAGATCATGCATTGCATTCCAGCTAGGAGACAAGAACAAAATGTTGTCTCAAAAAAAAAAAATTGGAGACTCAGCATAATGATGATATTAAAACCATGACAGGAAGTGAGATTACGCAAGGCAAGTGCAGAGAAAGGAGCAGAGGTTCTTGAAGTCAGAAAGAGGAAAGGGAGCCTGTCAAGGCGACTGAAAAGTAGCACCAATGAGAGAGTGGTGTTGCAGAAGCAAAGAATGGAAACCATTTTAAGGAGGAAGGAGTAAGGAAATGAGGGATTCCAAATGCTGTTGAGGAGTAGAGTAAGATGAGGACAGAGAAATACCCTGTATATTTGAAAATAGAGGTTTCTCTTTTAGTGTTGTGAACAGAAGCCAGACTTTACTGAGTGAGAGTAAACAGGAGGTGGGTCAATGTGGACTCCTTGCTTTCCACTACTCCAATTGTTGCTATCATTGCCATTCTTTGTGATGCCTCAACTACATTAACATATACAGTCCAAGATTATTCATCTAAATTAATGGTGAGTTCTTACGCATGTTTTAGGATTTGGATGATGTGTTGGAGAAAGCCAAGAAGGTAAGTCAATATTTGTAATTTCTCTTTTGGTTTTTTATTTTACTGTCATTTCAAGCAAAGACAGCTTGAAATTTAAATATACTAACTTGATGTTGTTTCAGTAGTTTATGATAAGTAGCATTTTTAATTTTTATTATTTATTTATTTATTTATTGAGATGGAGTCTCAGTCTGTTGCCCAAGCTGGAGTGCAGTGGCATAGTCTCAGCTCACTGCAACCTCTGCCTCCCAGGTGCAAGTGATTCTCCAGCCTCAGCCTCCCAAATAGCTGGGACTATAGGCGCACATTAGCGCACCCAGCTAATTTTTATATTTTTAGTAGAGACAGAGTTTCACCATGTTGGCCAGGCTAGCCTCAAACTCCTAACCTCAGGTGATCTGCCCACCTCAGCCTCCCAAAGTGCTGGGATTACAGGCATGAGCCACTGCACCCAGCCAATTTGTATTATTTATAATTAAAATAGAGACGAGGTCTGACTGTGTTGCTCAGGCTGGTCTCAACCTCCTGAGCTCAAGCAGTCTACCCACCTCAAGCTCCCAAAACACTGGGATTATGGGCATGAGGCACTGCTCCCAGCCTAAGTAGCATTTATTAAGTGTTTGCCACATGCTGGGTACTGAGCTAAGGCCTTTCTGGACTTTACCTCATTCAATATTTCACAACAGCCTTCTGAGGAAATTATTATTTTATAGCCAACCGTTTCCCATTTTACAGATGAGGAAACTAAGGCCTGGAGATTAGTAACTGGTCCAAAGACACATGCTAGTGAAATGACAGAGACAAGTTAGTCTGAATTCAAAACATGTTCCCATAGCTACTATGCTCAACAGCACTATGGAACAAATTGGTCATCTTTCAGTTTTTAAATTCATGTGATTCTGGAGATGTAGGATATATTACAAAAGTTTTCTGAAATGTTTTGATTTGTTTGGAAAAAAAATTTTTTTTGGAAGTGTTTATTAAATTCATTGTAACTAGCATTTTGTGGCCATCTCAGAAAATGATAGAGCCAGAAATGGTTGTAGTACATTTTTACATACAGCAAGCTTTCACTGTGGTAGCTTAATTAGGAATGTGGACGTTGGACCTGATATATAGACCTGATGTCCTTGGGCAAGTTATTCGATATCCAAAACTCTGTCTTCTGATCTGTACAATAGACTACAGTCTACTTTATAGGTTTCTGTAAATTAAATGATGCAATATTTTTATTCACTGAACATAGAACCTGAAACATAGTAAATACTCAATGATAGCCCTTCTGATTGTGTTGATGGAGCGTGGGTGAACAAGGATAACTGAAATGCAGAGAAAACTTTAAATTTTTATATAATTTATATAAAATGTGTATTGTTAGGAACTCTATTCTTTTTTTTTTTTTTCAGGCCAATGTTGTGGCCCTTGTGGCAGTTGCTGAACATTCAGGAGAATTTGAAAAGATTATGCAACTTTCAGAAAGGTGCTACTTCTAATTAAGAGGGCTGCTAATAAGAACACAGTTGTGACATCCAGTTTATAATATCAAAGATCCATTTTTAAAGAGAATAAAGAGGGAAAAGCATTTTAACGTGGTCCTAAAAAGAGATTCTTTTCTACTTATTCTATTTTTTTTTTTTCTTAAGACTGAATCTTGCTCTGTCACCCAGGTTGGAGTGCAGTGGCACAATGTCAGCTTACTGCAACCTCTGCCTTGTGGGTTCGAGCAATTCTCTGCTTCAGCCTCCCAAGTAGCTGAGACTACAGACATGCACCACCAGGTCTGGCTAATTTTTGTATTTTTTTGTAGAGACAGGATTTTACCATGTTGGCCAGGCTGGTCGCAAACTCCTGGCATCAAGTGATCCACCTGCCTCAGCCTCCCAAAGTGCTAGGATCACAGACATGAGCCACCACACCTGGCCTCTACTTATTCTTTAGAATACATCGTAATCTACTAGTCTGCTATTCCTGCTTTCTTAATTGGTTCTACATTTTTAGGTATAATGGGTTTGTCCTGCCATGCTTGGGTGTTCATCCAGTTCAAGGACTTTTACCAGAAGACCAAAGAAGTGTCACGTTAAAGGTAACAGTCATACAAAACAGGAACCATTAAAAACAAACAAAAGAATTCTTTTACTCAGTAATCCTCCTCTTTCTAATTTATATTCTCAGGAAATAATCCAAAAGAAGGAAACACTACCTTATTTCACAAAGATATTTGTTGTAAGATTATTTGTAATAGAGAAAGAGTAGAAACAGCCTAGAGGTTCAGAAATAATCATTAGTTAAATTGTAAAGTGTTAAATATAATGCATTTACAGAAAATGAGTATTATAAAGTGTATACAGCACATGGAAATGCTTACAGTATAATACAGGGAGAAAAGCAGAATACCAAATGGCGTATTCACTATGAATGACATATACATAAACATATATTCATAAAGAAAAGACTGGAGCGAAAACACGGAAATGATAGTAATTGTGTTAATATAGTAGAATTATGTGTAACTTTTTTCACATTTTCTTGGTCCTGTAGTCATGTTGCTTTGGCAAAAAAGTGATAGAATATCTAGAAAAAGAAAGATACAAATTCAGAGGTGCCATATACTATAAGGGAACAGATGAGTTCAGTTAAGTAGTTTGTCTTTGAACATAGAACCACTACCGCAGGATTGCCCTCCAACTATTAAATTGCACTGATTTTATAACCTCTCTAAAAACGTCCTACCCACAATGTCTCACTGACTCACAATAGTCGGTATGTCTTATATTTCACATTTGTCTCCTGACACAGCATCAGGAAGATGCACAATTTCTTGAGTGCTTTATTGCATAATAGGATTGATAGTCCCATTTCGAAGAAGTAATGACTTTTTGTTACTTATGAATAAATTAAGATATGGGGCCATTTTTAAAATAATAATGTATCTCTATTTCTATATTACGATACCTTAGGTAGCTCTACTTATTTCAAAATAAAATTCATGGCCAGCCGTCATGGCTCACGCCTGTAATCCTAACACTTTGGGAGGCCGAGATGGGAGGATTGCTTAAGCTCAGGAGTTCGAGACCAGCCTGGGCAACATGGTGAGACTTCATCTCTTTAAAAAAAAAAAAATAGAAATAAACAAAATAAAATTCATGCACTTCAGGTAAAAATGCTTATCTTGTGGCTGTCCTGAATTGTTAAGTATGATAAAATTAGCTACATTGCCAGATAGTCACAGTTCTACAAATGTGGAATCATAGCAGGGCAGCACTTCTTTCATTTACGTGGGGATTTATACTAATAGACATTCATTTAGTTAGGTAGTCAAACAATGTGTACTGAGTACCTGCTACATGTCAGGCACTGCTGTCAGACCCAATAATAAGTAAGATCCCTCTCACGGAAGCTAGATTCTAGATGGTGCAGGCAGTTAACAATTGCATGAACAAGAAGACTTTAGATAGCAATAAGTGCTTTGAAGACAATGAAATGAAATTATGCAGTAAGTGTTGTGGATGCTGGTTGTTAGATGATGTCATCAAGGAAGGACTCTGTGGTAGTGACAGTTGAGCTGCAACCTGAATGCTACAAAGGAATTGGTCTTACAAAGAGAGGATCAGGGTATTTATATGAAAAGGAAACAACAAATCACAAAGGTCCTAAGGTAGGAATAAGCTCAGTATAGTCAAGAAACAGAAAAAGGGCTGATACGGCTAGAGGAAGAGAGGAATGATAGTGATGCAGTAAGAGGGACGTGCAGAGATTTCATATCGGACCTTGTTGGATTTTAGTTCACATGCAATGTAGGGTTTAATATGAGGCATACCAAGATGTAATTTATGTTTTAAAAAGATCCCCTTGGCTCTGGCAGTAAAATGAGTTGGTGAAGAAAAAAAAAGATCCCCTTGGCTGTGGTATGAAGAGTGAGTTTTAAAGAGGGCAAAAAATGAAAAGGGGAGAAAGTTAGAAGGCTATGAATGATGGTGGACTGGATCAGAGTACTAGCATTGGAGGTAGAGAACTGGGTGGATTTGGCATATATTTGCCATTAATATAGAATTGAGTAGACTGCTTAACTTACCAAAGTAATTAATATGCCAACAATATAATAGGTACTTTTTTTTTTTTTCTGAGATAGAGTCTTGCTCTGCTACCCAGGCTGGAGTGCAGTGGTGCCATCTTGGCTCACTGCAGCCTCTGCCTCCCTGGTTCAAGTGATTTTTGTGCCTCAGCCTTCCAAGTAGCTGGGATTATAGGCATGCACCACTACACCTGGCTAATTTTTTTGTATTTTTAGTAGAGATGGGTTTTTGCTATGTTGGCCAGGCTGATCTTGAACTCCTGCCTCAAGTGATCCACCTGCCTTGGCCTCCCAAAGTGCTGGGATTACAGGTGTGAGTCACCATGCCTGGCTGATAGGTAATTCTTGATTATCAAAGCAGATAGAACCCATCAAATGTTGTGATAATCCTCTGGAATAGAGATGAGCAGAGTTGGCCCTTTTTTATTCCAATTGCACTTGTAGTCCATACTGCAGTTTAGTTTTCTCCTACTGATTAGATTATAAGCCCCTTTAAAACAGGAAGTATGCCTCATTGCACCTTTACAACCTTCCAAAATACGTAGTACAAAGCTAGATAGGTACTAAGTATTCATCAAATTAACTTGTTTTGTAAGATGAATTGCCTAGCATCACATAAGTCTTTTAACATCTTCCTGAATTAATTAATTCATTCAATAAATATTATTACCAGGCACAGTTAGGCACCGGGGATAAATCACAGTGAAGTGTGATGGCTCACAAATCCCTGGTGGCATTCTGTTGCTCGTGCATGCAGGGTATTTGCCTTCCAGTTAGCTACTCTGTATGCTTGTCCCACTTCACTAATTTCTGTTAAACACCTGACCCCTGTTCTAAAGATTCTGAAGACTATACATTTTCTATAATAAAAAAAATCGATCTTAATTATTTAAAGATTAATCTCTTAATCTCTTCCCCTCCCTTGATCCCTTTTGTCCTCCTTCCTTCTTTCATTCATTCCCTTTTTTTGTCTCTCCTTCCTTTCCTCTTTCAGCAGCATGGTGGAAACAGCATGCATGAGCCTTGAAGTCAGAGAGACCTGGTCTACTGACTTCTGTGATCTGTTGCACATTACTTAACTTCGCCAAGTCTGAATTTCCTCATTTGTAAATGATGAAAATTATATAGTAGTATTATGCCCAGTCATAAGGGATAGGGGTATAGAATCTTCTTTTTACAAAAACTGTAGTAGGGCGGAGTGCCATGGCCAACTCCTGTAACCCCAACACTTTGGGAGGCTGAGGTGGGAAGATTGCTTGAGCCCAGGAGTTGGAGAGCAGCATGGGAAACATAGCGAGACCCTATCTCTATACAAAGGTTAAAAATATTAGCCAGGCATGGGGACATGTGCCTGTAGTCCCAGCTACTTGGGAGGCTGAGGTAGGAGAATCACTTGAGCCCAGGAGTTCAAGCCTGCAGTGAGCTATGATTGCACCACTGCACACTCCAGCCCGGGTGATAAACTTAGACCCTATCTTTAAAAAAAAAAAACAAAAATGAGAAAAGTATAGTGGAACCATTAGCTGTTAAGGAACTTGAGGCCTTATGAAGGGAGTGGGGATGGAATTGCAGTCAGAAATAGACCTATAAATATCCTTATAAATATGCTGACATCTGCTAAAATAAAATGACGGAGACCACACACACAAATGCATTTGTATATATTAAGTAAGTAATGTGAATTATATTCTACTATTAATTTCTATTTATCATTCTTGATTTGATAAAAGCTTCCAGGTCTATTTTATTAGGAGTTTGAATAGTCTTATGTAAATCTGTTTTGTTTTTTCATAGATAATACATATTCCAAGAGGCATGGTTTTTTCTATATCTGATCTTCCTCCAAATGTATAATTTCTGTGACTCAGGCTTTCTAGGCATCAGACATTTCCTGAGTTACTTCTCCTCCTTCTCCAGTCCCTCTGAGATCTCAGAGACATAGAGTAGTTTGCATGTGTAATAGGGAAAAAGCTTTGCCTGGAACTGTTTAACCTACTCATCTTGTTGTCAGATAGCTTCTATGACATCTAGGATCATATACCCATCACATCTCTTGACAATGTTAATTCTTCCTCAGGTCTACTAGCCTATATTTCAAGGCCTTAACTTCCTCTCCTTTATCTTTGTTCTCTCTCTCTCATAGTTGTAAAATCTACTCCTGTTCCTCTGTCATCTGCTTTACCTTTCATCCCTTTTCCAGCTCAGTGCCTGGTTTGTGGAGTCTACTTGTCAATCTGGACTTTCATACACCTATGCTTTTGGATGAACTCTGTTACATGTCCTAGAAATTAACAGAGAAAATCGACAGTGGATTGACAAGAATGACAATCTGTTCTAAAGAATTCCAATGGAATGGAATCCTTTAATACGAAAAGAATGCTCAACTGGACACAGATCCCTCATTTTGACTTCATTAGCTATGGCAATGAGAGACAACTTTTTGAAAATACACAGCTAAAGCTGTCTGAGCTTTAAGTGTTGACCAGTTTTTCATAATACACAGCTAAAACGGTCCCCGCTTTAAGTGCTTTAGCGCTTAAAGCGGGGACCGTTTTAGCTGTGTATTTTGAAAAACTTGTGTGCTCTCCAAATAAAAAGCTGCTTTTCTTGTTACTTTTGGTCCCCAGGAGAAATGGGAGTCGTTTTCAGACAGCATGGGAGACACATGAGTCCTTCGGAGTCCTCTTGTCTACCTCTGAGGGTGCAATGAGGGCGTGAAGCACTTTGGGAGGTGTCCAGACACACAGGTAGGCTTGCTACGGAGCAGAGCTTCACACTTGGGGTGTGCTCCTTGTCATCATGAGCCATGTCTGAACGAAGTAATCACATTTCATATGCAAGCATGTTCTCCGTTTTACTGTGCTGTTGTTTTTAATCAGAGCAGCCTCGACAATGCTTTAACTTGATAGCCATGAATAATTTCGTTCTACATAATAACGTGTGGGCTTTGAGGAGGAGGCAGCGTTTGATGAGAAGGAGGGAGAATGGACGTGTGAATTAGGGAAAGGTGTCTCTTCCTTTGGAGCATGGATGGGTTCAAAGCCCACCTCATACTA